ATTACAACATTGCCTTCCTCGGAGGGTTCGAATGAATAGTATAGAATAAACTAGCTAGTCTAAGCTAATTAAACTAATTATTACACAACATTAATTAATTAACGAATTAACTAAGTAAGTAAGGAAACTAGCATGCAAATTAAACAAAATGGACTGCCTCAACTCTGTTCCGAATGATAGGGATGCATGCATGCTCAAGTCGCCTTGTCGGGACATCCATCGCGATGCCCCGATTTGCCTCTGTTTACAACTGGTCCCAGAACACTGTACAAAGCTCCAAAAGGCTGCTGACCAGTTTTTGCTGCTGGTTTCCGGTTTGCTGCAACAGAGAGCGAGAAAGGGGCATGGCAAAGTATTTTCAACATATGTGTGCATGACCACTCTCCCTATCATTGCATAAGCTCCAGGGAGTGTAGTCCTCGATCCTCGTGCCACCAATCACGTATCTCGATGCATGATGGCTGAGGAGTCGAGTTGCACGACTCAATGTAAAATGAGTGCACATATAAACACAACAAGGCCTAAACTCCATCATGGGTAATCTAGAGTGTCGGCGACTGAGAATTGAGGCACGTTTTGTCACTTGGAGTACGAAACGTCCTTCGTTTCCCATGTTTGGGCTAAACCCTACCCCAAACACAATGCAATACACATGGCATGCATGAATGCAACTCTAACATGCAACCTAAACATAATGCCACTAAATGATGCAAACATGCAGATGATGGTATGCAAACACGCTACTAGCATACACAATGCTATGGAATAATCAATGGCATACTCAATGCACACAAAAACTAGATGGCATACGCAATGCACACATAGAGACTAACAATGAAATGATCAAGGCATACACAATGCAATGTGTAAAGCAGTCCACAAGAAGAGCAAATAACACAAAAATTAAGGAAGCACTAGAATTCATTATTTTCAAGCCAAACTCATTGGAAACATGCACAATAAACCTTTTAGGGTTAATAGAATAATATGATCATTTATGGTAGGTGATCTAAGCCGAAATGTTACACTTCGAGGCTCCCTAGCTTATGTTTTTAGTCTTTTAGCTTATGATATTTGATACAATAAAGTGTTTTTCTTCCTCTTCAAGTTAATATCACTCCGGAAAAGAAAAGATCGCAAAAGGAGGCAAAAGGAGAGAATTCATTATTTTCAAGCCAAACTCATTGGAAACATGCACAATAAACCTTTTAGGGTTAATAGAATAATATGATCATTTATGGTAGGTGATCTAAGCCGAAATGTTACACTTCGAGGCTCCCTAGCTTATGTTTTTAGTCTTTTAGCTTATGATATTTGATACAATAAAGTGTTTTTCTTCCTCTTCAAGTTAATATCACTCCGGAAAAGAAAAGATCGCAAAAGGAGGCAAAAGGAGAGAATTCATTATTTTCAAGCCAAACTCATTGGAAACATGCACAATAAACCTTTTAGGGTTAATAGAATAATATGATCATTTATGGTAGGTGATCTAAGCCGAAATGTTACACTTCGAGGCTCCCTAGCTTATGTTTTTAGTCTTTTAGCTTATGATATTTGATACAATAAAGTGTTTTTCTTCCTCTTCAAGTTAATATCACTCCGGAAAAGAAAAGATCGCAAAAGGAGGCAAAAGGAGAGAATTCATTATTTTCAAGCCAAACTCATTGGAAACATGCACAATAAACCTTTTAGGGTTAATAGAATAATATGATCATTTATGGTAGGTGATCTAAGCCGAAATGTTACACTTCGAGGCTCCCTAGCTTATGTTTTTAGTCTTTTAGCTTATGATATTTGATACAATAAAGTGTTTTTCTTCCTCTTCAAGTTAATATCACTCCGGAAAAGAAAAGATCGCAAAAGGAGGCAAAAGGAGAGAATTCATTATTTTCAAGCCAAACTCATTGGAAACATGCACAATAAACCTTTTAGGGTTAATAGAATAATATGATCATTTATGGTAGGTGATCTAAGCCGAAATGTTACACTTCGAGGCTCCCTAGCTTATGTTTTTAGTCTTTTAGCTTATGATATTTGATACAATAAAGTGTTTTTCTTCCTCTTCAAGTTAATATCACTCCGGAAAAGAGAAGATCGCAAAAGGAGGCAAAAGGAGTGAAAATCCGTGACTGAGTGAATCCACTCGAGCGAAATTCACAATCCACACGAGCGGATTTTCCAGAATCAAGTTGGGCCTTTGAGTTGATCCGCATGAGATTTGTCACGTTTTTGCGTGCACACGTTTTAGACTCAGAATTGACTAGAGGTGATAAAAAGAGGTTTTGGGCACTTGTTTTGGCATCTGAAACCCTAGAGAATACAGCTAGAAGCTAGAGAAGAAGAAAAATCATCAATCCATGGCGTTCTCTTCAACTTTCGAAGTGTTCAACCTCTCCATGAGTGGCTAAGCTTCCTTCTCAAGATTGAGATGAAACTCTAATCAAGTATCCCGTAATTTTGTATTTTGATTATAGTTTTTTTTTTTTTTGAAATTAGATAATCATTGTATGATCATATTTAGATATTTTATTCAAATAATCTTTTCATTCGATTTATGTATTCAATTTCTGTGATTGAGAATGCATGATCATACAACTGTTTTACTTTCTTGTATATACAAACCCTGAGACGAGTTATGTTTAGGGGAGACGAGTCGTGCCACAATCCTAGTTTGGTGTGGACGATTCGTGCCTATGTTTTGGATATGCTCATCCTATTGGCAATGTTATCAAAGCTTGTAGCCACGATACATCATTATTATCCGGACCATTGATTTACTAGAATTGGATATTTTAATTACATGATATGAGATTAGTAGTGGATTTGGAATCCTAAGTCTCTCTCCATATTCGGATAACTCTCTTTATTTGCGCAATTAGTTTGGTTTAATCTAAATTCTCATCGGTAAAAATCAATCATCCTCTCTTCTTCAAATTAAATTAGAAATTACCAATTAAATTGATACAACTCAACCCAAGGTCCTCGTGGTACGATACCTGAACAATATATTGTTCTACTGAATTACTGTTTTGTTCAATTGTTTATTTTTTATTGAAAAAAGACTGCTCAATAGGTACTAATCTAGTTAATTTCTATATGATTTATTAAGTTTTATATACCAAGGGGGCTTGGTAATTTGTATAATTTTGTGAAAGGGATCGAGGGGTCACCCATGGGTCGTCATATGAGTCATGTAATTGGGTTTTATTTATAGATCTTAATTGGTCTTGAAAATATTTTTTTTAGAAGACAAAAGTCTAGGGTGTATTTGGTTTATGTTTTGAGATAAATTTTCAAAAAAAAAAATTGGATAGAGAGTTTAGAAAAAATTTTGGTTTGTTTGATTGTATATTTTGAAAATAGTTTTGGTGTTTGGGAGTTTGGAATGATTTGATATTTTGTTTTAGTTGAATAAATGTGTGTGAGAGAAAAAGTGATTGAGAAAGAGAGATGAGAGATAAAAAGTGATTGATTGATTGATGTGGAGGAAAGAAAAAGTGATTTTGGAATTTTTTTTTTCAAAGAATTTGAACCAAACAAAATTTTTAAAATTTTTCTCAAAAATTATATCTTGAGATACAAACCAAACAAGCCCCTAGTTTCCTTTTTCAGAGTCCTAGTACTAATTGGTGAAGGAAGCCTTTATAGTGCAATATAATGCGGTTAATTCAATGGAGAACATGGTGTGGAGACTTTTGTGAAGTTTTTAAAGCTCCTCTATGAATTATGTGATGCAATTCTATCCCCAAGTGTGATACTTGAGGGATTTGGGTGTGATGCCTAGACCTTGTCTTCTTCTTTCTTCTTCTTGTTTTAATTTTTCTAAACTTCAAGCCTCTAAACTACAAACCCAGATATGTATTAACTCCCATTCAACCCCCATACATCATAGTTTCTTAACCCTAGCACCTCAGCTTACAAAAGAATATATAACAACCCAAGTTATGCACTGTTCACAGCACCCATAACAGCCCTTGAACAGCGCCAAAAATTCCATCTTTTCATGCTTACATTCTTACCCCTTTATTACTCATACAAATACCAACTTTTTAGTCATAAAAATCAATTAACATCAGCAGCTTTTCTGTTCTCATATATTAATTTTGGTTCACTACTAGTAGGAGAGTAAGCCCCGACTCGTCCTTCGTCAGTTTGGTAATTGAAGAGAGAGTATAGGTTTGATCCCCATACCCAAACTACGTGTACCATCTAAATGTGATTCTTAATCGATGAGAATATTTGAAAATTTTCAATGCTTTCCTGTAAACCTTTACTAGAAACTACACAAGGATAAATAATCTGCAAGCTTTTCAACTAGTTTAGATCATCAATAATCAGGGTTACTTAAGCTGTTCAATAGCCAATGCAGGACATAAAAGTGCACATTTTAAGTGCAATTCACGCTTAAGTTAAGCTTGTCTATGATTAATGCAAGAGACACAGTCAATCAACCAATTCTGAAGTGTATGTTGTTAAAACACATTAACTATCTGCATTGAGTCACCATTAATATCTAAGTAAACATAGATAAACAATAAAAAAAACCACGCATTTCAGAATCTTATGATCATTTGAATGCTTCCACGCCTTCTTATAGTCTATTAGGCCTAAATCTTGTACTGCCAACGTAACGACACTGCAATGTCTCTCCCTCATTTCAATAAATGCTAAGGGCATCTCCACTCCAACCTAAATCAAACTTAATTTTGGGTAAAAGTCATTAAAAACAACCTCCAATCCATTATCCAAATTTATACCAAATTGAGTTTTACACAGATTTTTACCCAAATCAACGGAGACTCAAATGTTTCCTAAAAAATTTCAAGTCTATTTAGTGGCTCTCAAATTTACCACTTTGCTATTAATTAAGCTTTTGCTCAAATTTATGGTTAAATCTGAATATGTCCATTGGAGTAGTCCATTACTCAAATATGAGTAAAATTTTGAGTAACAACCCAAACAATAGCAAAAGCAATTAAACAGAAAAAACAAAAACTTACATCATTCGGATGAAAAAGGAGTTTGAGGGAATTGATAAAAATCCCCTGTAGTGCTGCTGACCAGCTGTTCCTCTGAACACTCTCATCAATTCTTCCTAGTTGTTCCGAACCCTGTTCCGGATTCGGTGATGGTAATAGATGATCGGTCCGAAAAGAAACCGCACTGAATACAATTCCCTACAATTATCCACCACATTCAATTATATATATGACCAATACAAATTATAGACACACAGACACAGAAATGCATGTGATTGAGGAGACTTACGAGAACTTTGGCGTAAGTTTCCTTAGCTCGATCGTCTGAGAGGTTCTCGGCCGTAACTGCATTTTATATACATTTGTCATACATGATACATCTAGTTTAAACACTTTTTCACAAAAATTTGAGCGCTGTGTGTGTGTGTCTATATAAGAGAGAGAGAGAGAGAGAGAGAGAGGGTTTCATACTGAAGTCTCTGTTGATTTCACAGATGGTGACTGAACCAGGTTGAGGAAACGAATACATTTTCTCAGAGAGGGAGAGAGAGTAGGGTTTCTTTCTGTTCAAATTGCTAATTAGGAAGTGGGGAAAATAATTTCTGAAGGGGAAGCTTTTGAAATTTCATATATTGGGTTTAGGGTTTAGGAGAAAATAATAACAAAATTACACAAAAAAAAAAATTAGGAGGTGATTTGAGATGTTGTAGATAAGTATAATTTTTGACTTTTTAGTAAAAAAGTAGAGAAAAAATGTGGGTTATGAAAAAAATTTTAACTTTTTACGAAAAAATGTGTAATCAAATAGAGTGATTTTATTTTCACCGCTACTTTACCTCTTTACACCTTCTATATGAGATTTTTTGGACAATTCTACTTACACAATTACTTTATCTCTTTACACCTTCTATATGAGTTTTTTTTTTTTTGAAGGCTCTATTTACACACCACTTTCCCTCTCAAGGCAAACCACTTCTAAAGACACGCCAAAAATAAATTGTAAAAATAAATATTTTTCTCATCACACACCACAAATTTTTATGTATACCCTCACTCACACACCTACCTACCCACAACAATATACACACAAAGTTCCATCTTTGCCCCCACACAGCCACACACCCTACACCCACGATACTCATCTCCTCCTCCATTCTCTATTTACACCGGTGAACACCATTGCTGAAAACACTCATCAAGACGTCGTCGGTGGTGTTGCTCAACACAGTTGGTAATAAATTGACTCGTGTAGTCAACAAGACCCCCAAATCCAACATTACTGCATTCCACAGATGCACAGTTCTGAAAAAAAAAATTATAATTGTTCGGCAATACAGAGTTGAATTAAATGAAAAAGTTCAACCGTAGTAATCCAAACAAATTGCACTTGTTCGATTGTAGTTTGTTGAACAGATGTAAGTTATTCGATTGTAATCTGTTGAACAGATATAAGTTGTTCGATTGTAGCTTGTCGAACAATGATATATCATTCACCTCTGGTTAACCGAATAACGATTTACCACTCATAAACGAAAACGAAAACGAAAACAACAAAAAAAATAATATTTGCATTGGTCCATTGTTCCGAATGAGAATTGTCAGACGCATCCTTCATTAAATCCAATCAAAATCTTCAATAATACTATATTTTTTATTATTTGTTGAAGGATTTTTTATTTTAGTTTTAGGGTTTTTGGATTCTTGACAGAGAAGATACGTAAGGAACAAGTTTGAAATTGATGATTTATATTATATTGATTCTTGTCCTTTATGGTAAATACACAAATGAGGTGTATCATAACTTGTCCTTTATAGTCATTTCACTTAAGGTTAAAATTATAGTAAAAAATAAATTAATTAATGGTTTGCCTTGAGAGGGAGAGTGGTGTGTAAATAGAATGACCCCTTTTTTTTGTTTTTTTCTTCCTAATTTTATCCATGTATTAAATTTTCTTTAAGGTCAAAACACTAAAATTAAATATATTTTGTTATCTCCTTACACCTCTTGGTCTTCAATCCCTACTCCTCTTTTTCCTTTTTTAATTTTTTTTTCTTTTACACATCTCTTTTTAAAAAGTGAGAATCATAGTATTTTGATCAGTAAAGAAAGCAATGGATGAAGAAACGGTGGTGAAAAACTATCAAAAAAAGTGAAATGATGAGTTTTTTTTATTTATTTGGTAGGCTTTCGTTTCGTTTTTCTGGACTGGTGTTCTACTTTCATTAAGTGGTTCGAAATTGAACAAAATAAAATAGTCCGGTATCACATTGTCGAACAAAAAATATAAGTCTGGTAACCAACTACCAAATAAAAGCTACATTTTCGGTAACCCCAAACCGATTTTTTTTAATTTGTTTGACTTCTCATTACCATGTATTTTCAGTTTCATTTTTTTATATTTTTTTTATTTTTCTACCTGGAAGGATTATACTTATACTCATTACAATAACGTAAGTACTGCATTATTAGTGGACTCTAGTCATGAATTCATTACAGACGAGGTTTGTTAAATTTTTTTATAAATACGATTTTTTCTTATTTTTAATTGGTATTGAGTTTTATTAATAATTTGACGTATAAATGTATTTATTACTTTTAGTTTTTTAGTAATCGTGAAGCTTTAATTAAACAAGCTTCTGATTTTGGGAAGAAGACTGGATTTGTCATTGCTATAAAGATATCAGATGCGGAAGATAATGGCAGAAAACCAACACTTACACTTACTTGTAAAAGAAGTGGTTACAATAGGGACAACATGAAGATCAAGGGGGAACGATTGAGGTTGACAAGTTGTAAAAAATATGGATGTCTATTTCTATTAAGGGAGAAAAAAATACCTACAAATTAGCAAGACGAATTGTGATAACATGTTTGATTGATGGATGCAAACAATGACATATTTTATAGATACTTTATGGATATTCATACACTTGATGTTTTTATGAATAATTTTACGAATACTTTTTATGTATGATTTTATGGATGCGTGTTTGATTTATGAATTTTTTTATAGATGCTTCAAGAAAAAAGTAAATCTTTTATTGTACAGCAACGAGGGCCTAGACAACTCTATTGTAGTTTGGCAACATGACACTAGAGTAATCTCATTTGTATAACAATGTATCACTGAACATGCATTTCACAAGTGGTCCAAAGTAATTTCTTGTTATCATCTAATTGGACGACAACATAATACTAGGAAAAAAAATTATTGTCCGGTAATATGGCACTGGAGTAATTTAAATTAATTAATGTTGTATTACCGAACAGGCCCACCACAAATTAAAAAATCATTGTTTGGAAGAAAGTATCTTTGTAAATGTATAGCAACAAAATGCTGGAGAGATCTATTTTTTTGGGCAACATAACACCGGAATAATGTAAATTGCACCGTGTTACCAAAATTAGTGGTGTAAAGAGATGAAATAGTTAATTTAGAGTTAGTTTTGGTACTATATTGGGGGTGTAATGAGAATTATATTTTTTTCAGTGGTGTAATGAGATGGAGGGTGTAAAGAGGTTAAATAGTGGTGTAAGTAGAATCACCTGATTTTTTTTTTCTTCCAATTTTATCTATGTGTGAAATTACTTTTAAGGATAGAACACTAAAAGTAATATATTTTATTATCTCCTTACACCCTTTGGTCTTCAATCCCTACTCCTCTTTTTCCTTTTTCCTTTTTCCTTTCTCAACTTTTCTTTTTTCTTACACATCTCTTTTTAAAAAGTGAGAATCGCAGTGTTTTAATCATCAAAGAAAGTAATGGATGAAGAAATGACGGTGAAGAACCATCAAAAAAGTGAAGTGGTGAGTTTTCTTGTTTGTTTGGTAGGTTTTTGTTTCGATTTTCTAGGCTAGTCTTCGAGTTTTGTTCCGTGCTTCGAAATCGAACAAAATAACATAGTCCGGCATCATAATGTCGAACAAAAAATATAAGTCTAGTAGCCAACTACCGAATAAAAGATACATTTATGGTAATATAAGGCTAGATTTTTTAAATTTGTTCGGCCACTCATTACCATGTATTTTCAGTTTTTTTTTATTATATATTTTTTATATTTTTTTGCTTGGAAGCATTATATTTATACTCATTGCAACAACGCAAGTACTGCATTATTAGTGGACTCCAATCATGAATTCATTACATACGAGATTTGTTAAGTTTCTTTATGAATACGATTTTTTCTTATTTTTAATTTGTATTGAGTTTTATTAATAATTTGACGTATAAATGTATTTATTATGTTTAGATTTTTAGTAGTCGTCAAGCATTAATTAAATGGGCTTTTGATGTTGGGAAGAATACGGGATTTGTCATTGTTACAAAGACATCAGATACAGGAGGTAATGGCAGAAAACCAAAACTTACCCTTGCTTGTGAAATAAGTGGTTACTATAGAGACAACAAGAAGATCAAGGGGGAACGATTGAGGTTGACAGGTTCTAAAAAATGTGGATGTCCATTTTTATTAAGGGGGAAAAATTGCCTACAAATGATTAGTGGATGTTGCATGTCTTATGCGGAGTGCACAATCATCCGTCTTGTAACAACCCCCATACTGTTTGCTGATTAATGACTGATTGATTACCGATAATCACCGATTACTGTTAAACGAAACTGATAATGACTGATAACTGACTGATAATTGAACTGATTAAAAGTCCATCGACATCGAGTAATATCGAGGGTGGGAAGATCACAGATGCAACAACTATTAGGGCAATTGCCGATTCAAAATTATGTTGAGTGGCATCGATGTGATGATAGAGAGATGGTGACTAACTTGTTTTGGGCACACCCGGTTAGTTTGGAGTTGTTACGTGTATTTCTACATATCTTGATTATGGATTGCACATACAAAACTAATATGTATCGACTCCCTCTCTTAGAGATTATTGGGGTAACATCAACGGACTTGACATTTTCAGTTGCTTTTGCTTATCTTGGTCATGAACGGGAGGATAACTATACATAGGCTTTAGGCGTATTGCGTACTATTATGGAGAATATTGCTTTTCCAAAAGTCATTATTACGCATATAGAGTTGGCTTTGATGAAAGCCATCTTAAAAGTTCTACCTATGGCCACTAATCTTTTATATAGACAGCATATTAGCAAGAATGTTCTGATAAAGTGCAAGAAGGTTTTTGAGACGAAAAATAAATGGGATAAGTTCATGCATAGTTAGAATGCTTTGGTATTGGTTAGAACAGAAACATAATTCAATGAACAATTTTCCAATTTCAAGATCAAATTTAGTATGTATCCTGAAGCTATTAAGTATGTTACTACCAATTGGTTAGAGCCATACAAGGAAAATTTTGTTGCAACTTGGACAGACAGTACTATGCATTTCAAAAATACTACTACAAATAGGTGAATTTTGCTCATTACATTTATGAATTGCTATAATTTTTTGAATTTTATATTAAATGCCAAAATATACATACTTGTAGGGCGGAGAGCTCTCATGCTAAATTGAAGAGGCAACTTGGATCAAGTAAAGGCAGTTTTGAGACATCTTGGACCAAAATACACAATTTGTTAGAGTTACAGCATGCAGACATTAAAGCCTCATTTCAAAAGAGTTTGATTGTAGTCCAACACAACTACACACCTACTGAGTT